AGCCTGCAGAGTGGAAGAGGAAGGGAAGGCTACTACTTTCTGTTCATTTTCTGTCTCTGTCAACATCATCCAGCAGAATTTCTGTATAGAAATGGCAGCAGCTTCTTGTTTCCCACTTACTTTTTAAAAGCAATTCCAGATCCAGCTTTATTATGTGCTGCACTCCATCCTTCTCCTCCAAGAAATGCCAGCACCACCAGCCCTTGTTCAGAGATCTAGGTCGTAAGTCCTGGGTTCCTCTTCCAAGTTCCTGAGATGCCAGCACGCTGTGCCCTCTCCTTGGAGAGTAGAGCCCTCTCTAAGCTTCAAGTTCTGTAACCTCAGTCTCTTCCTTTGGTTCCCTCACCCCCCGTCCCTGGGATGGGAACAGCTCCTAGGAGTTCCCCTTTTGCCTATTTAGCCCTTCGATTTTTACATTAATATTTTCTGTTAAAACAACTGTGTGCTTTCTGTGTCTTGCCTGGATCCTGACAAATCTATCTTCTGTTTTACTAGTTCAATTTTCAGCAATCTTCAGTATGCTGTTTACTGTCTCCATGACATATATTTCTAATTCAGCAGTTATGTTGTTGTTGTTGGTTTTTTTTCATGCATAGTGGCAGATAACATCTCAGATGTTATCCTATTTATAAATCCCTACTCTAGATTCTCAGTTACTATTTCCTTTTGATTTTAAATAACTTAAATTAGAAGCTCTCCAAAAGTGCCTCTTGTTTCCAGTCTTAGAGGAAGCCATTTCAGTTCTATGGTTTGTCTCCTTCGTTTGTAGTCTAATTCTTTTTACAAGACTGTGGATGTTTTTCTTACTGTTGGAATTGACACAATTTTCTCTGTGAATCTTTCAGGCCTTGGAACTAGCATAGGTGATAAAAGTATCTAGTTTGCCAATTCAGAAGTTGTCAGGAATTCCCTGGTGGTCCAGTGGTTAGGACTATATGTTTTTCACTGCCAGGAGCCTGGGTTCAATCCCTGGTCGGGAACTAATATCCTGCAAGCTGCCTGGCAGGATCAAGAAAAATACAAAATCAGAAACAAAAAGCCTAAACAAACAAACAGCAAAACTAGATTGAGTGACCTATGTTGAGAATTGTAGGTAGAGCTGAAATCATTTACTTCTATGTCTAAGAATTTATTTATATAAATTTTGGTACATTTAGTAGCAATCTGGAATTAGTCTGGTATGTTTGTCCTCCTTGGGAATCAAAAGTACCAGAGTTCCTGCCACCAGTATTAGGCACAAGCCAGAACTCTGACACTTGGGTTTCTTATTCAGTGTGATACCTGGTCTGTGATGGGCTGCCTTTGATGAGTTGGATCCATGTTTATGACACCATAGTTGTTGCCTGACCCTCTGTCTTCTACTTTTAACCTTCCTATCTCCACATTTAGAAGTGGATATATACTTCTTGTTGGAAAAGCTCAACAGTGATTGCCAATGTCAATTGGGAAGATCAGGGCATTGTGTGGGTCCTTTCTTCAATCTGATCCTAACTGTATGAGATCAAAAAGAAATTTCTCCTAGCTTCTTGCTTATAGACAATACTCTTTCCTATATCCCAGTGTCAATACAGGATTTTCCTTCCTTTTTTTTTTTTTTTTTTTTAAAAGATTTATTTAACAATACATGCTCCAGGTCTCCGTTGCAGCACATGGAATCTCTCAGTTGCGGGACATGGGATCTAGTTCCCTGACCAGGGATTGAACCCAGACCCCTGCTTTGGGAGCACCAAGTCTTAGCCACTGGAACACCAGAGAAATCCTCAGGGTTTTCCTTTCTTTATATTTGCTTACCTACTTCCTTAAGCAGGTGGGAGTGTGGAGGGAAAAGGACTTCACTCTAGTTTCTTCTCATTCGCTGATGTGTGGAAATACCCAAAAACTCTGCATTTTGTTACCATTTCCATTTCAAGTGAGCGAAGAAAGGAAATAGAAGACAAAATAGAAATAGTATAAGACAAAATAGAAATCCCCATTGTCTGTTTTCTTTGCTTCATTGGGTTGAATGCAGATTATTTGGTGTTGTCAAAACTGCAATCATTGTGTCGCAGCACTGGGTAAGAGTTCCTTTTCGAAAACAAAACAATCAAAGAAGAGGAAAAAGTGGCAAACAAACCCAACAGAATTAGGCACAAAAAATACCACCGTTTCTTTCCATTAGCAAACTGATGTGTCATGTAAGAGTCACCCACACCCTGCAACAGGCTCGTTTCAATATAGAGTCATCTCTCTTATCTCTGGTTTCAGTTCCCCACAGTCAACCTTAGTCTGAAAATATTAAATGGAAAACTTCAGAAATTAACAATTCACAAGTTTTAAGTCATGTGCTGTGCCGAGTAGCAGGATGAAATCTCCTGCCATCCAGCTGCATCCTGCCCAGGAAGTGAATCATCTCTTCGTCCAGCGTGTCCTGCGCATTAATCTTAGTAGCTGTCTTGGTTATCAGATCAACTGCCCTGGTGTGACACTACTTGTGTTCAAGTAACCCTTGTTTTAATTAATAATGGACCCAACACATAAGGATAGTGATGCTGGAAATTCAGGGACACCAAAGAAATGCTGAAAAGTGCTTTCTTTAAGTGAAGAAGTGGAAGTTCTTAATAAGGACTTAGTAAGGAAAGAGAAAAAATTATATCCTGAGCTTCTTAAGATCTGTGGTCAGCATGAATCTTCTCTCCATAAAATTGTGAAGAAGGGAAAAGAAATCCGTGTTAGTTTTACTGTCGCCCCTCAAACTAAAAGCGTTACAGCCACCACACTGAAGTGCTTCGTTAAGATGGAAAAGCGTTCAATTTGTCCAGTAAGATATTTTGAGAGAGACTATGTTCATATAACATTTATTACAGTATACTGTTATAATTGTTCTATTTTAGTCTTCGTAGTGTTGATCTCTTACTGGGCCTGCTTTATAAATTGAACTTTATCATAGGGATTGTATGCATAGGAAAAAAAAAACCCCAGGATATATAGGATTTGGTACTGTCTGGGATTTCAGGCATCCACTGGGTTCTTGAACCCTATCCCCCATGAATAAGGGGGTTGACTGTAGCCCTGATGAGTAAATTAGTCATAAGGAACGAGGATTTTTAAAAAATCTATTTATTGATTGGTTTGGCTGCATCAGGCCTTCGTTGTGGCACATAGGATCTTCTTTGCATTCTGTGAGATCTTTTGTTTTGGTGTGCAGGCTCAGTAATCGTAGTCCACCTCCTTAGATTTCCCATGGCATGTGGGATCTTAGTTCCCCAACCAGGGATTGAACCCACAATCTCTCATTGCAGCACCGCTTCTAAACCACTGGACCACAGGGGACATTCCTGGAAAGGGGGTTTTTGACTCCGTGATCCCTTGTGGGAGAGCAAAGGAGAATTTGTGGTCCAATTATGCAGGAAACATGAGATTTTTCATTCCAGGGCTTATTCACATCCCCATCACTCATAGTTTTGTTATCAATTATGTGAACTTCCTCAAACTTGGAATTAGAAATCCTGAATTGTAAAGGCTGTGGCAATTTGCAGATCTGCAGTGACAATTTACAGATCTCTAATAGAAGGAAGCTTGGCTTTACAGTTTGGGAGGACAGCAGAGAAACGGGAAAATAGATCCTGCCACCTGCCTACAATGTGAGTCCTTGTAAGATCCTTGGTTTCACATACACTCACGATGATCTCCAAATAGACAGCCTAGCTGACAAAAGACATCAGTCGCCTCTGGGAGGGAAAACATGAAGAGTAAAATTCCAAAGAAAGTGAATACATGGATTGCTGGGCTTGTTATTCATGGCGTGTTTCTGACTTGCTAAAAGCAAGTTTAATGTATTTATACCATTTATACAGATGTAACTGATTCTGAAGCTCTGCTCTTTACAGAGAACATATTTCATGTTATTGTAAGCACTAAAGAAAATTAAATCAATAAATCCACAGCCTGTAATTTGAGATCCTCGGTTGAAGAAAAATACGTTGTCCGGGAGGGAGGGGGAGGTCTTGAGGAAGGCTTGTCAAACTGTCTTCACTCCACTATCCCAGGCTTTCAGATGACAGCAGAAATAAGCTTGTGAGGTTAAATTATCAAAGTGTTGTTATGACACCTCCAAAAGAAGTAGAGACCAACTCCCACTCTTGCTAATGAAGCATATGCTTAAGTGAAAAGCCATGCAAATGATACTCTCTTTCTCAACTGTCCCTGCGTGTGTCCTTTTCCCTGAAAAAGATTTGCTGGTGAATACTCAGAGACTAATGTCTGGACACGCGGTAAATTCTTCCCCATCCCTGGCATTGATATTCTCTGTGACCGCTGGCAAGCCAATTAACCCCTCCAAGTGTCACCCATCTACGTGTAAAAGGTTAATGGTGCAGCTTGTTTGCAAAGAGCCTGGAGTCTTCCAAGAAGACACTACATGGATGCCCAGTGTTGTTGCTGGACTGGAGGGCGTTGTATTTTTTAATTATATGTTTGGTTGGATAGGTTATAGATTTTGTTGTGGTTGAATGTTGCCTCTTCTCCCTGGTTACAAATAAAAGACTAATAGGTAATCACACTCTTATTACCATCTTCTAGAGCTCCCTAGAGGGCTAAGGGAATGCAGAGGTTACAAATTAATAATGCATTCTTTAGTTAATAAAAAAAAATCACGTGCACCTCAGCTGCATAATAGCTGTGGATGGCAATTTATTAGACCAAGTGTTTTATCAGATGCTAAGTAGATAATGCTAGCAAAGACTCATGAAGTAATGAGTTTTTTCTTTCCTGCTCTCCTAGTAAATCTTCTATCCATCATATCAGTAGAGAACATTAGGGACAGTTTGATTAAGGCTTATTTGAAATGTGTTTGTGAATATTCAGGAAGAGGATTCTTAGATTCTAGAACTCCTGAAACCAGGGTGTGTGTGTGTGTGTGTGTCTAGGTTGTGACATCAAGCTCACTGTTTTATCATCTTTGGAGCAAATGTGGATCTTCCTGGCCCCAGAGCAGAGTGTCATATCTTTCCCATTCTTTGCAGATTTACGGAAGAACTTTGAGCAAGACCCACAGGGAAGGGAGGTGCCCATCGAAGGCATGATTGTGCTACACTGCCGGCCTCCGGAGGGAGTTCCTGCTGCGGAGGTAAGACCAGGCCATTTCCCAAGAGCAGGGACTGAGTCCTCTGTGTTCACAGGAGATATAAGCCAGTCTGGGCCCGGCCTTCTCGCTGCCTGGACCCAACCACTAAAGATGGTGACGTGGCTGATGGAAATAAGCTAGAAGAGGAAATTGTCTCTCCTCTAATTTCTTAAGCTCTTGCCAGCCAATTTGGGTGGAAATTGCCCTGTGCCCTTCCTGCTGGGGACCTCGGTGATGCAGGCGCATGCTCTGTGCTCCCCATCCGTCACCCTGGGCGCTCTGCTTTGTACATTGGTTTCTAGATCCATCTAACAGGCAAAGTCACGTCAAAAAAGTGTAGAAAGGAGGAGGTCGGGCTCCAGTGCCAAGTTTCACAGGTGTTTGCACTTTTCCTTCATTTGCTTATGAAATAGACATACCTAGAGTATTTGTTATATTTTAGGTGCTGCTCTGGCGTGGGGAACACAGTGTTGGAGGTCCCAGATCTCTGATCAGTTACCTATTGTTCACAGTGAGGTGGTCGGAATCCAGAGTCGTCATAGTTTTTGCTCCTTGCTGGTTTTCTAGAAGCTTCTCTCATACGCTTAGACTATAATTGTCATTAATAACACACTGTGCTGGTAGGGATGGTGTTCTTTAAGTCACTGTTAAAAGAGGTTCTGATAGACTAATAATATTGGTATTGAGATAATACTGTAGGGTTTATTCAGAAGTTCAAAGATTGCTTGGTAAAGTCCTGTTTTGGGGTTGGTCGAAAACTTCGTTTGGGTTTTCCTATATAAGTTGATGGAAAAACCTGAACAAATGTTTTAGCCAACCCAATACATATGCAAACATAGGTCTGAGTCAAACAGTAGAGAGGCCAGCTGTGACTCTTCTCTGAGCAGCTAGGGGAAGGTCCTGAGAGTCGTGGTTTCTTCATTGAGAAGTAGAGATATTAAAACAACAGGAAACTTTGTTGTGCATTGCTGTGGGATTTTGTGTTTGTAGGGGAAGAGGAGTAAATAGTATCAAGGGGAACCGAAAAAAGACAGACTTGCTGATCCAGGCAAGAAGCCCGCAGGGTGGATTCTATTCAAAGCTCCCAAACTTCCCTGAAATGAAGTAAACGGACTTGAAAATTAAAGTGAACTCTCCATGCGTGATGTGAAATGATGAGAAAGGAAAATGCTTATTTTTAGATTTGTATTTAATGGGAAGCAAACATATATTTGATCTCCTTTGGCCGCCGCCTTGTTCTGTACAGAGAGTGCCCTGGATTGCCGAGACGGGGAACAGGAGGGCCGGGTGAATGTCGGTATCATTGAGGACACCCCATGTGTTCCTGGGGGACTCAGGTCCCAGGCGTTTGCTATAATCACACCATCTCTCATAACCAGGCTCCCTTCCAAGCCTGGGCTGGGTCACTGTGTCATCTTTGAAGCACCAGAGAGCAGTGAAGATGGGCAGAAGGTCATGGTTTTATTATCTGTTCTATGGGAACCGAGCATTCTCTAGATGTCTAAAAATCAATTTTTACACCTAGAAGAGAGCTTAGATATTTACTTGGCATGGCCTTTCCATTTTAGGGGCAAAAAAACTGATACTCAGATCAATGACCCACCAAAGGTCTTGCACCCATTTAAGTCATAACTCTGTTCAGTCTTCCCAAAGTTCCTCAGAACACTCAGAGAAAAGTCCACTTTCATGCCTTATGTGGTCCAGGATAATCTAGCCTGCTCTTACCTCTGACCTCATCTGCTGTTGTTCAGTTTCCAGCCCTGCTGTAGCCACATTAGCCTCCTCACTCTTCAACAGCCGCACCAGCCATGTGCCTGCCTCAGGACCTTTGCACATGCTGACCCCTCTGCTGGAACACTCTTCCCCAGTTACTCCATTGTTTCTTCCCTTCCTTCAGGGCTTGCTCAGAGACTGCCTGCTCACTGAGGCCTGTTAAGGGCAGTCTGATGACGATGTCGCTTCCTTACCCTATATGTATACTTTCAAGCCCCTTTCTCTGCATTTATTAACTCCTTAGCTCTTAGCACAACCATACTGTATTTATTCAACTTATTTCCTATTAGAATTTAAGCTCCACAAGGAGAATTTTGTTTGTTTGACCATGCTACACGGAACGTGTTTGACCAGGGATCAAAAACTGCATCCTTTGCTTTAGAAGCACAGAGTCTTAAAATCACTGAACCTCCATGGAAGTCCGATGTTTATATTTTCATCGCTTTATCCCCAGAACAGAAAAGAGTGCTTTTCACATCCAGGTGTCCAATAAATATCTGTTGAATATGAATGAAAAATAGTTTCCTGCCTCTATTCCTGAATATTGGAGGTAGTACTAGGACTCAGCCCAGACAAAACTGTGAAATCCACTAGACTCTTGTTTTTGTTTTTTCTCCTGAGTGTTAGAAAATGGGTATAAGTCATTCTTCACTTGGTCTTTGAAGACACAAGTAAAAATAAAGAACAGAGAAGAGAAAGGTAAGCAATATGTGACCTGGTGGGGTAAGAGCCAAAAGGGAAAATATGCCTTGATTTATAAAAGTGTCCATGAGTTTGTGCACATGCACACACTGAAGTGTCTTCCCAGAGAGCTCAGGGATTTAGGAATTATAAGGACTCCAAGCTCTTTGGGGCCATGGTTGAGGGAGGATTCCTATTGAGAAAGGATTAGTCTCTAGGAAGCAAGCAGCATTCCTAGCTGGTCAACTGTGGGGTTGGCCAAAAGGTTCATTCAGATTTTCCATCCAAAAACCCAGATTAACCTTTTGGCCAACTCAATACCTGGGAAAGGCTGAACCTGGGTTGAATTTAGAAGCAGCTCTTGAAACGTCCCTCCACCTTTCTTGCCCCAACACTGTCCTTGAAAGGAAATGAGTTGTCTCTATTGGCTCAGTTCCTTTTTCCATCTTTATATGTTTCTTTTGTTTATTTGTTATTGGAGTATAGGGCTTCCCAGGAGGCTCAGTGGTAAAGATTCTGCCTGCCGATGCAGGAGATGCGGGTTTGATCCCTGGAGGGAAGATACCCTGAAAAAGAGAATGGCAACCCACTCCAGTATTCTTGTCGGGAGAATCCCATGGACAGAGGAGCCTGGTGGGCTACAGTCCATGGGTTTCCAAAGAGCAAGACACGACTCAGCACACATGCATAGTGGCTTTACGATGTTGTATTACTTTCTGCTATATCACAAATACCTGTTGAGCTGTTTGGTAGCTTAGATGGTAAAGAATCTTCCTGCAATACAGGAAACCTAGGCTTGATCCCTGGGTTGGAAAGATCCCCTGGAGAAGGGCATGGCAACCCACTCCAGTATCCTTGCCTAGAGAATTCCCATAAACAGAGGAACCTGGTAGGCTATAGTCCATGGGGTCACAGAGAGTTGGACACAGCTGGGCAACTAAGCACATGAGTGTGTGTGTGTATTTACATATGTCCCCTTTCTCTTGGACCTCCCTCCTTCCCCATCACTCCCCACCCCATTCTGATGTGATTTTCAGCTATGACCACAGGAGCCAAACAGTATGTGAAAAACTTCCAGTAGTCACACACCCTGATGTCAATGCAAACAGTATTTGGGAGAGTTCTTGGCCAGGGGAAGAAGGAACACAATAAGTACAGACTTCTCAGTAAGAAAGTGTATTTTCTTTTCTGGTGCTTCCCCTCCTGCCAGATTTCTACACTGGTAGGTATTTACTTCCTGGATTAGTTTCCTGGGGCTGCTGTGACAAATGACTACATACTGGGACTTCAAACAGTCAAACTGAATTCTCTCACAGTTCTGGAGGCTAGAAGTCTGAAGTAGGGTGCAGGCAGGGTTAGTTTTCCTGGGGGCTCTGGAAAACGAGCTTGTCTCTTAGATTCTGGTGGTTTCTGACAATCCTTGCTGCCCTTGGTGTGTAGATACATCACTACAGACTCTGCCTCCATCTTCAAATAGGTATTATTCTCTCTGTATCTTTTTTTATCACTTTCCTTTTTAATATTTATTTATTTGACTGTGCAGAGTTTTAGATGCAGCATCTGGACCTCTGATTTTGTTGGTGGTATGGGAGATTTTTCGGGATCTTCAGTTGTGCCATGCAAACTCTTAGGTGGGGCATGTGGAATCTAGTTCAACACTGAGGATCAAACCCGGGCCCCCTGCATTGGGAGCATGGAGTCTTAGCCACTGGACCACCAGGGAAGTCTCTCTCTCTCTCTCTCCCTCGATATGTGTGAATTTTCCTCTTACAAGAACATGAATCACTGGATGAGGCCAACCTCGATCCAGTAATGCCTTATGTTAATCTTCTTGGTCACAGTACCACTACAGTGACCCTATTTCCAAATAAGGTCACATGCACAGGTTATGTGTGGGCTTGAAATTTGGAGAGAGGGGCCACTCTTGAACTCAGTCCACTTCCCACTCCCCCTTGACATATTGATACTCTTTCATTTTTAAGCACATAGGTGTCTTTAGAAATAAATTTCAGAGCCAGGCTGGCTGAAAGAGGGCCATTTCAAGGAACAGCTGTGACTGTAGTTTGGCTTAAAACTGAAATTCTGAGCTGAAGAGGGGAAGCTTTGTTTTCTTCCTTTTGTATTATGGATGAATATGGAGAATGTTTCAGCTGCACTGTGGGTTAATGGCTGGTGTGGGGCCCTAACAAGCTTTTATAGCATCTTCTTAAGGTGGGAAAGCATCTGGGTTCCAAACAGTTGGGTTACTTTGAAATTTCACTTATTTATGAGATGGGTACTACCTATATCTGTGCACTGATATTTATAGCTCTATAGTTTCAGCAGTAGCTTACACACTAGTTATTACCACCAACATTTGTGTTTTTGTTGATGTGTGGGTCAATCAAGAGAAGAAAGCTGTGAGAGAGACGGATACAGATAGGGAAGGAAGGTGAAGATGTTCATACCTTCGGTGGTCAGGGTCTCTTGGTGGGGTGGGGGTGAGGGTGTCTGCCAGTGCCTGTCATGGGGCCTTCAGATAGCAGAGTGTTTTTGTGCTTACTGACCTC